AAGACTAGCCATCGTATTTCGATGTACGTCGGACATGCAAATCATGCCTGCTGATGGGGGCTAACCTGGACAAATAAGTTTATTTCATCCACCATTTCTTTCCCCAACATCACTGGGGTACCATACAACAATGGTCAAATCGTCATGCTTGAGAGAAATGAGCATTTGTCGATCATTCGCTAATCGCTCCTTCCCAGAGACGGACACATTAGCCCTAAGGAGGCCTTTCAGGTCCAAGTTATCATATGGTGTTTGTTACATCTCTGTAGATCTCGACAATATCCATAGCGACTATGGGATGAGAATGTATATATGATACCAAGCATATAAGACAACCATTGTAACATTTTTTGTTCAACTATCCTACTAAACACCAACCTATTCTCCAAACAACAAAGTCTTCTTATTTTTCGCACACCACACTCTTGAATATGTCCATCTACTATTAACCTGTAACCCTCACTGCAAGATTCGCCAGAGTAGTTCTTGTATGTCATCATCTAAAGCACTTGTACTCTCAACTGTATCTTTGGGGCGAAATACAGGGGAGAGATTACATTTTAAAAAAACATGTGCTGTCTATTGCTATTTTATTCTGTGTTCTGTTGCCCACTATGAAGAGATATGTCAGTTATGGAAGTAAACACTCCGTTCCTTGGGCTTTGGATATTTTTTATATGCCTTTTTATATCCTCTGCACATGAAGGGGCCGCTACCGAAAAAAATATAAAAATATATTTGTATTCTCAACTATGTGCTTGCTATATGATAGATACCATCCTACATGCTGTTGTGTATGCAGTTAAGTATAAGCCTTTTTAAAAAATTGTTATTGTTGGTTAACGTCATGACAATCCAATACATAAATATTATTATGGATCTAACAAAACACTTCCAACAACTGCTTGATGACCATTGGACTTTCCTCAACGCTGGATGGCCAACAATTACACCACGTAATAATCATCGTACTGTAAGCAAGGAAATTGGGTATATGCCAGAAATAAAAGAAACCCTAAATCGACGCCTTGGTCCTATTCCAGTGTACTTCTTTCTTGTTGACATCTGGCCAAAGGTTAAGTATCCTGGTCCATACAAAGAAGTGGAGAAAGGTCTTTTAATGCTCTATCATCTTGTCAAAGGACTGTCTATGGAAGCAATGGAACCACACATGCCAAAAAGTAGTTTTCATGCAATGCACTCTGTGTTTTATAAGAAAGAATATACTTTGCACAACAAGTACATCACCAACTGTATTGCAACAATGTTCTCCACAATTAAAATACGCCTTTTGTCTGCAAAGGAAAAGAATCCTCCATTATTTAAGCATGTTACATTGCATCTTGATGGTCATGATACAAGAGCAACATACAAAGGTGAGAGTAGTGCTGATATGTACTCTTACAAGCTGAAAAAGTCAGGATTACGCACACAGGTAGCAATGGATTGTAATGGCATGGCTTTATTTGTCTCCAAATCTGCATCTTGCAAGAACAATGCTGATGGAACAATGCTGCTAACGATGAAGTTGGACAAGAGAGTGCATGAGATGGATTGCATTGCTCTCGATGGAGGGTATCCACAGTTCTTAAGGAGGCTTATAGATGAGTCTGATACTCTTAAAGTCCAAAATTTCGCTCATCCATACCGTAAACAGAAGAACAAGGAACTTACACAGGAAGAAGCGTTATACAATACCACCTTTGGTAGTTTCCGCTCGCAGATGGAATCTCTGTTTGCAGACCTTGGTTCCACATTTGAGAAACACAACAATCGTACTCCTGTGTTGGTGGATAAGAAACAAACATATAATTTGCAGTTGAAGTTATCTTTGTTACTCTTAAACATGAAAAAGATGGTTGCTTTGTTGAAGATTTCTGCAGAACCAATTCATACAGCTTGGCTTCGCGAAGGATTCGAGTATCCGACGACAGAGAACGACGTTGAGCAACCAATGGGATATGTTGATGTTGGTGCGCTAGTGGAGGATGGAAATACAATGGCACAACTCCAGAACAAATTTCTTGGTATTAATCTTCATGGTGATGTTGATGTTGATGTTAATGTTGATGAGGACACACCAATGGATCAAGCAGTAATAATGCAACCCGGTCTTTCCATTGAGCTTAGAGGTACGAAGCGACAAATGGATGTTAATGGTAATCTGTAGACTTATTGCAGGTTTTTAAAAGAATAGACATACATGGCCTATTTAGTCAGCTTTAAGATACGGTATTAACTGCCAAGACGCTAATATGCACCGGTATCTATTATTAAAAGCCATGGTATTATTGTAGTAGATCGGATGCTATTCTATGCTATTCTACAGCATTCCTTTTTATTTAACTAAGAGGATAAACACATGTACAAACCTACGTCATAAAATAATACTACATTCTTAACCATTTTTAAACCCCGTCTTTAATGCCAAGCAGTCTTAATAAGCAAGATCTACGTCATACGAGGAACACTACATTATTAACCACTTAGATGCCTTTTTAAAACTCTTTTGTTACTAAGCGCCAAGCAGTGCTAATAAGCAAGCGCTATTAATGTCCATTGTGGCAGTGTTCCTGAATTAGTATAAATAAAGGAGTCCACTTCCCTCTTGCTTAATCTTTATCTAGTAACCAACCAACAATTATCCATATCTATACAACCATCCATACCTATACAACCATCTTTTATTGCAATTCTTTATATCAGTGTACTAAGCAGCTGCAATCTACCACACATAAACTGAAAACTCATTCACACCCACCATACCACAAGTACAATCCATATTATTCATATCCAAAAACATGAAGTACGTTCAGCTTACAATCGAGCTCATCACCAAGGCCTTTGAGACATTCTCCTCTAAGAAGGGAGTGGAGTTTAACAAGAAAGATGCAAATAAGATCTTTAAGGCGCTTGATGAGGATGAGGAAGTAGAGAGATACTACTTTTGTGGAGAAAAGTGCACCAAGTCCAAGCGCAAATGCATGAAGGAAGTTGATGATGAAGGCATGCATTGTTATGTCCACGATCCTGCGCGCAAGTGTCAAGGCACAACTATTAAGGGTGCTAATTGTGGTAGTGTAGCCAAACTTGGTCAAACATACTGTGGACGTCATCAAGATCAAGATAGAGGTTATATAAAACGTAGTAACAACAACGCACCTGTCGACAAGCGTACCAAGTCTTCCAAGGCTTTAAAGAAGACACATACTTCTAAGTTTGTGTCTTCCGATGACGATATGACTTCCGAGGATGAAGAACCAAAGAAGCGAAAGAGAAACAAGCAGGAGTCATCGGATGAAGAGCCGTCCGATGATGATGATGAAGAAGATATAATTGCCGTCTCCTTTCCGTTGAGTCCAAAGGTAGTTGACATAACGTCCAAGAAAAATGTACCACTCGCTAATACATGTATATGGACGCGTTATGCAACTAATCCAGCTTTCCTGTATGCAAAAAGCTTTACTGTAAATGGCAAGTACATTATTAGGCTAAAGGAAAAGAATCTCTACATTGCATTGTGTCCACCTAAGCTCATGGGCAAGAATCTCCCTGCGCCAGAAATATCTGAGAAAGAGGCACGCATATTGGCCAAGATGGGTCTTCAAGAGGCAACTTCAGCAGATGTAGAAAAAATAGAAGAGTCTTCTGCTGATGAGAATTCTGACGATGATACAGATGATGGTGATACGTCTGATAATGCTGACTCTGACGATGATTCCTCTAAAGATAAAGACTCTGATGATGGCAAGTCCAATAACAGACCTGATGTAGAATCTGGAGATGATACCTCTAAGGATAACCCTGATGAAAAACTATCTCATAAAAAGCCATCTAAGGATGATGAGAAGAAGACTTCTCGAAAGAAAAGGCATTCAGAGATGCCCAAAAATGCAGAGCCATCTTCTAATGTAGATGTTTCTAAGGATGAAAAAGATGAACACACATTTGCACTGGCCACAACGGTGCGTAACATTAGATCAGAGAAAGACATACCACTTGCAAAGGATGGAGGATGGATGGTTCATCCTAATAACGACATGCTTGAGTATGCAACTAACTTTACGATGAAGGCTAAGTACATTGTCAAGCTATGTGGAAAGAATACATACGTTGGCCTGTTTACGCTTGATCATCTGCGTGGCGGTGGTGATGTTCCAGAGATGGATATCTTGGAACGCTCCATGCTTAGCAAGATGTGTTGCGTATTTGCCTTGTGGATCATAGATAGATGAAGACATGAACTAGCTAGAACTAAGCCACCAGGAACGACATAAGAGATCGTTCCTGGTGGGCCCTAATACAACCTTCTTCTTGTCTCGTTACTTACAAAGTGAGTCTAAACCTTATTTTATCGCAGTTTTTTTAACGAATCCAAGTGGTTTGTTTGTATTGTTTTTATCTATCCATTGAACTGTTTTTGCATCCTTCGTGCATTCAGTTTCAATCCATCAAGCTGTTTATACATCCGTTGTGCATACAGTCTTGTCGAGTTGGTTGTACATCCTTTGTGCATCCATTCTCTTTCAATCCACTCTCTGGTTCTTCTAGAGTAGTGATTGACGTACACCCCACAGGTTCAATCCCGTGTGTATCGTACTACTGTTCTTTCGTTCTTCGGTTCTTCTGGAGCACTGTCAAATTGTGACTGTGGTGATTGAACTACGTTCCGCAGACTCAACCCCTGTGTGTATCGTACTTGTTTTTGATCGATTCATCTCTCTAGTTTGCTTTCCCTCAACTTTTTTGTTGAGTGATCTTTTCGCTTCGTCATTATCTTGTGTCGTCTATCACTCCGGTGTGCGAAGCATATAGACACAGACGTTTGTGCAGCAATTCATAAATAAAGAACGTTTATCGCCTTTACCTTTCCTTTTGTTCGTGATCGCAATCGTTGTATTGTCGAGACGCCGAAAAAAGAGATCAGTGAATCAGAATCATCAAGTTTATTTTATTTTTTGTTTCTTTGCTCATTCCCTTCTTTGTTCCTCACTCTCGTCATGACTGTACTTAGGACAATGACTCTGAGGAATGGAAAGAGTGTTGCAAAAGAAGGTACAAGTGGTACCGACGATGCAGAGGCTGTCGTGGAGGAGGCCATGGAGTCCATGAGTATTGCTCAGGGAGAATCGTCGCAGACGGTACAACCCAGCGGAGAGGTCGACATGGAAGTTGACGACGAGGCGGAGAACTCATTGAGACAGGAATCCCCCTCAGTCGGTCATACACGAGGTCAGTCTGGCGTTCTGCCCATAATCACAGCGGAGTATTGCCAGGAGCAGGTTAATAATCTGGGGCAGCAGTTGGAGATTCATACGGCAACAAAGGGACAACTGACGGCAATGATGATGATGAACGGTGGAGGAACCCCGGAGCAGAGCCAGAGGATGGGCCAGTTGCAGGATACGGTCCGCAGCATCAAGGCGTAGCTGGAGTTATGGGAGTCGAGTCTAGATGATATGAACTTGGCGAGGAAAGCCAAAGCGAGGACTGTCCACAGCGCCGCATCGTCATCGTCTACACCCAGCTTCCCAAAGTCCTCCTATGGCGGGAATGGCACTATGGACGACAAGCAGATTGTGCTTCTCAATGTTATGCCCAGGTACCATCGCAAGGTGCCAGATCATGAGATGCCTAAAGTCGACGCTAAGACGTCCGGTCCTATCCGAACTTCAGTTCGCTGTTTCCTGTATGAGTTTCATACCCAAGGTAACCTTGCCTACGGCACTACGACGTTTGAAAAGATTTGTTATCGTTTATTAGCGTTGGCGAATCTAGATGTCAAAGTGCAGGATGCATTAACAGGAGCGAGGAAAAAGGATACGGGTCCGGCGTGGACGTGGGATCAGTGCGAGCAGACATTCGTGGATTGCGCCATGACTCTGCATGAGAAGACGTCTGAGGTGGAGGAGTTCGCCAAGATGGGCAGAGAGAAGACAGAGTCTTTTAAGGAGTATGAGCTGAGATTGCGACGGCTGGTCGAGGTCTACCGTGTCAAGGAGCTTCCTAAACACACCGATGTCACCCAGACTCTGAGGATGTCAATCCCGTCACTGACTTTGACGGTGATGCAACTGTCTGAGACGGTGAACATGTTACTGAAACATGTGGGTATGGCGGTGCCGGATGTAACGTCGTTGGACTTCCTGATGAACGCGATCCCGAACGCCCTTGGTCCTGATGAGTGCTCGGAGTGGAAGGTCTTCATCGATGCGTCGAGGAAGGCGAGAATGTCCAAGGAGAGCGACGGCATCAACCAAGGAGGCAGCCAACACCATAGGCAACATCAGCAAGTAAAGAAGACGGTGGCCGCTCAGACGAATGCAGGAGCATCGTCAGGAAGCAATACCGTCAGCGCCAACAACAACCATAACAGCTACCCAAACGGCCATCAAGGTCAGTATCCCGGCAATCGAGGTAGAGGAGCACCGCAGGGACGATGGCAGAATCGTGGCAAAGGAAGGAGCCATCCGTATAATGGTACGTCCGTTGATCCTGCTTTGCTACTGGACGTTGTTGAAGAAGAACAAGATTGCGTTATTAAGTACAGTGCCATGTCTATTCCACACACACAGGCAATAACAACCAAAGCCAACGAGGATCCTCGTCAGCTTGATGTAACCCCTCTGGTGACGGCGCAGATAGATGTGTTACCCATGGTTGAGTCGAATAAAGTGATGCGTGAGGCGACCAGCAGTAATACTGAAAACAGTGTGGAGGGCAATCTTGTTGTAAAGAAGAAAAGGAGAAAGAAGAGAAAAGCGAATGCGGAGTCCCGCTTTGGAATGTCGGTTCATGTAGGTTCACCTCCTCCATCACCTCTCGACGGAGGGGAAGGTGGGAGAAGTGCTGAAACGGCTGGTATTATAAAAGCGAAGATCAAGTATGGGGCAGTTGGTGTAATCAGTAAAGAAGATGATGGTTGCGCTTTTGGCTCGTACGAAGTCGAGGATGACGAACTCGCTCAAGCGTTTGAAAGACACACGTTAAAAGACAACCCTGTTGCAAAGATGTGTGACGGCTACCCGTTATTTAAATTCGGTGACGATGATTTTTCTCTTGTGCAAGTTGCGTACGGATCGGTCAAACGCAAGAACCAACCAGACCATCGTCTTTTTGTTCCTGTCACCATCCACGGAGAACAACACCGAGCGCTCATCGATACAGGCGCCACGCACTCGTTCATCAGTTCAAGAATAGTCAGCAAATATTCGATCCCTGTCAATAAAATGAAAGGGTACATCGAGTTAGCGGATACTTCGACTATTGCACGCATCGGCGAAACAGAGAACATGGAGGTTATCTGTGGAAAGAATTTGCTTTGCGCACCATACGAGGTTATTGATCAACCCCATGCCATTACTATTGGTATGGATCTCTTTCATCGGTATGGCTTCAACATCATAGGTTTACCTGACCTAGTAGAGTCTCCTGATCGAGTACATATGCCTGTTGAGGACGAGAAGCCGACTCTCATACCTCTTATGACACCCCCTGTGGAGACGACGCGGGAGTACATCGAGGAAAAGAAGTCATTTATGGAGTGCGTCAAGGAGCTACTGGAGGAGAACGCAAGGATCCCTTCCACCAGCTTTTGCCCAATTCCGGAGATGAAGGTGTTTTTACCTGTACCGGAGGGCATTACTTTGAATCGACGTTCAAGAGTTGAAAATTTTTACGCTAGTCACGCACAATCGAATTGATAAGACAAGAGAGGGATCTTTGTTAACAGCCCAGACACCTCCATTTATGTCGGTGTCTGGTCATATGACTAAATTACTGTCTCTAGCCTAATTACATTAGGAGGCCATCCATGTTCGGCTCCACCAACCATAGACTACAGTATAAAAATATCTGTCAACACCTATTAAAACAGTGTGTTCCTTGAGAGTACAACAAATCTCATCAGCTTTTTCCTTCCACCAGTCTCCATTTTCTACATTCACCACCACTACTTTGTAACATCATCTACTTTAGCTGAGAAAGCCTTGGACATGATCATCTCATATTGGAAAGGAAATTACTATCTGTAATATCCAGGATCCAATATGAGATGATCATGTCCAAGGCTTTCTCAGCTAAAGTAGATGATGTTACAAAGTAGTGGTGGTGAATGTAGAAAATGGAGACTGGTGGAAGGAAAAAGCTGATGAGATTTGTTGTACTCTCAAGGAACACACTGTTTTAATAGGTGTTGACAGATATTTTTATACTGTAGTCTATGGTTGGTGGAGCCGAACATGGATGGCCTCCTAGTAGAGCATTTGTTTTCGTGTTTATATAATTAGCGATGGTTACTAATATCTCCTTTTCATGATATATCCTATGTGTATATCCAATATAGCACTCGTGATACTGGTGATGATGTAGTGGTAGTTTTAAAAAAAAGTTGGATCACGATTTTTTTAAAAGTAGCATAGTGGCTTTAACAAACATTGGTTGTTGGAAAGAAAGGGTAGCTGATACGTTTTTAATGGCGTTATTGCTACACTTTCTCAACAATATTCGACATTCGACATTTGACATTCGGCATTCGATTCGACAGCTGACAAACTGTAGTTATTACCATAGTTATGATATTTGATATGAACGCATTTTGGATGACCTCGTGATTATCGTGATGTTTAATTTTAATACATTCTTGATAAACTCGTAAGTATTACAATGTTTAATGTTGACATACTTTAGGTAAGCCCACGATTTGCACGACGTTTAATATTATTACACTTTGGTTAACTTACAATTGTTATAGCATTTATTGTTATACAGATTGTAGGTAATTACGACAATGGTAAAAACAGAGATATCGCAATTAGACCATGCATTGTGGGTAGTTGTAGATATAACAATTATATCGTTTAAAATAGACGTTTCTTAAAACACATCACATATTTTATAATGCAAATGGCTATTATATTACAACGTTTCTATTGCATTTTGTGTGATAACAAGATAGAAAAAATGTATTGTTAATAGAGTAATTATGTCGTTAAAAATAGACGTTTCTTAAAACACATCACATATTTCGTGATGCAAATGGATATAAACATCGTGGCGTTTCTATCGCATTTTGTGTGATAATAAGGTAGAGAAAATGTGTTGTTAACAGAGTAATTATGTCGTTTAAAATGGACGTTTCTTAAAACGTATCACATATTTCGTGATGCAAATGGGTATGAACATTGTGACATTTCTATCGCATTTTGTGTGATAACAAGACAGAAAAAAGAAGTTGTTAACAGAATAGTTATGTCGTTTAAAATAGACGTTTCTTAAAACACATTACATATTTCGTGATGCAAATGGGTATGAACATTGTGACATTTCTATTGCATTTTGTGTAATAATAAGGTAGAGAAAATGTGTTGTTTAAAGAGCAACTATGTCTTTAAAAATAGACGTTTCTTAAAACGTACCCCATATTTCGTGATGCAAATGGGTATGAACATTGTGACATTTCTATCGCATTTTGTATGATAACAAGACAGAAAAAAGAAGTTGTATAAATAAAAGTTATGTAGACTTAGGAAATGTCTATAAAATATCGTTTGTATACTTTGGTGGTTGGGAGAAAATTGGTGGTTACAAAAAAGTTGTCGCAAAACCGCCATGATGAAATACTTTGACATCTGGTTGAGGGGCTTGTTCCCCTATCGTGTTTATCGTTAATAGTTTTAAAAAATCCAAAAGTGTGTTATATAAAGGAATTTTTGCTAATAGTTTACCAGGTTGTAATTACAGTCATGGCAAACTTAAAGCGCCTATTTCAACGGTTGTTAGAGGATGAATGGACTTTTTTGGATGTAGAATGGCCTACGCAAGAACCATCTAATAATCATAGGACTGCGTTGAAGCTAGTAGCACATATGAAAACTGTTAAAGACTTACTTATAAGAAGATTAGGTGCAATTCCTGTATTCTACTTTCTTGTAGTTATTTGGTCTCTCAAGCAGTATCCAGGTCCATACAGAGAAGTCGACAAAGGATTGTTGATATTGTACCACTTAGTTGCAGGCTTGGCAATGGATGGAATGTCAACCCACATACCAAAAAGTAGTTTCCACTCCATTCATACAGAGTTCTACAAGACTAACTATAATGTGCATTCGAAGCATATTAACCATGCACTTGCGAATATGTTCTCCACATTTCCTATACGCTTGATGTCTGCTAAGGAGGCCTTTCAAGTCCAAATTATCATATGGTGTTTGTTACATCTCTGCAGATCTTGACGATATCCACCGCGTCCATTAGAGGAGAATGTATATATGATACCAAGCATATAAGACAACCATTGTAACATTTTTTGTTTAACTATCCTACTAAACACCAACCTATTCTCCAAACAACAAAGTCTTCTTATTTTTCGCACACCAAACTCTTGAATATGTCCATCTACTATTAACCTGTAACCCTCACTGCAAGATTCGACAGAGTAGTTCTTGTATGTGATCATCTAAAGCACTTGTATTCTCAACTGTATCTTTGTCGTGAAATACAGGGGAGAGATTACATTTTAAAAATTCTTGTGCTGTCTATTGCTATTTTATTCTGTGTTCTGTTGCCCACTATGAAGAGATATGCCAGTTATGGAAGTCAACACTCCGTTCCTTGGACTTTGGATATTTTTTATATGCCTTTTTATATCCTCTGCACATGAAGGGGCCGCTACCGAATAAAATATAAAAATATATTTGTATTCTCAACTATGTGCTTGCTGTATGATAGATACCATCCTACATGCTGTTGTGTATGCAGTTAAGTATAAGCCTTTTTAAAAAATTGTTATTGTTGGTTAACGTCATGACAATCCAATACATAAATATTATTATGGATCTAACAAAACACTTCCAACAACTGCTTGATGACCATTGGACTTTCCTCAACGCTGGATGGCCAACAATTACACCACGTAATAATCATCGTACTGTAAGCAAGGAAATTGGGTATATGCCAGAAATAAAAGAAACCCTAAATCGACGCCTTGGTCCTATTCCAGTGTACTTCTTTCTTGTTGACATCTGGCCAAAGGTTAAGTATCCTGGTCCATACAAAGAAGTGGAGAAAGGTCTTTTAATGCTCTACCATCTTGTCAAAGGACTGTCTATGGAAGCAATGGAACCACACATGCCAAAAAGTAGCTTTCATGCAATGCACTCTGTGTTTTATAAGAAAGAATATACTTTGCACAACAAGTACATCACCAACTGCATTGCAACAATGTTCTCCACAATTAAAATACGCCTTTTGTCTGCAAAGGAAAAGAATCCTCCATTATTTAAGCATGTTACATTGCATCTTGATGGTCATGATACAAGAGCAACATACAAAGGTGAGAGCAGTGCTGATATGTACTCTTACAAGCTGAAAAAGTCAGGATTACGCACACAGGTAGCAATGGATTGTAATGGCATGGCTTTATTTGTCTCCAAATCTGCATCTTGCAAGAACAATGCTGATGGAACAATGCTGCTAACGATGAAGTTGGACAAGAGAGTGCATGAGATGGATTGCATTGCTCTCGATGGAGGGTATCCACAGTTCTTAAGGAGGCTTATAGATGAGTCTGATACTCTTAAAGTCCAAAATTTCGCTCATCCATACCGTAAACAGAAGAACAAGGAACTTACACAGGAAGAAGCGTTATACAATACCACCTTTGGTAGTTTCCGCTCGCAGATGGAATCTCTGTTTGCAGACCTTGGTTCCACATTTGAGAAACACAACAACCGTACTCCTGTGTTGGTGGATAAGAAACAAACATATAATTTGCAGTTGAAGTTATCTTTGTTACTCTTAAACATGAAAAAGATGGTTGCTTTGTTGAAGATTTCTGCAGAACCAATTCATACAGCTTGGCTTCGCGAAGGATTCGAGTATCCGACAACAGAGAACGACGTTGAGCAACCAATGGGATATGTTGATGTTGGTGCGCTAGTGGAGGATGGAAATACAATGGCACAACTCCAGAACAAATTTCTTGGTATTAATCTTCATGGTGATGTTGATGTTAATGTTGATGAGGACACACCAATGGATCAAGCAGTAATAATGCAACCCGGTCTTTCCATTGAGCTTAGAGGTACGAAGCGACAAATGGATGTTAATGGTAATCTGTAGACTTATTGCAGGTTTTTAAAAGAATAGTCATACATAGCCTATTTAGTCAGCGTTGAGATACGGTATTAACTGCCTAGACGCTAATATGCACCGGTATCTATTATTAAAAGTCATGGTATTATTGTAGTAGATCGGATGCTATTCTATGCTATTCTACAACATTCCTTTTTATTTAACAAAGAGGATAAACACATGTACAAACCTACGTCATAAAAGAATACATAAACACATGTACAAACCTACGTCATAAAAGAATACTACATTCTTAACCATTTTTAAACCCCGTCTTTAACGCCAAGCAGTCTTAATAAGCAAGATCTACGTCATACGAGGAACACTACGTTATTAACCACTTAGATGCCTTTTTAAAACTCTTTTGTTACTAAGCGCCAAGCAGTGTTAATAAGCAAGCGCTATTAATATCCAATGTGGCAGTGTCCCATGAATTAGTATAAATAAAGGACTCCACTTCCCTCTTGCTTAATCTTTATCTTATCTAGTAACCAACCAACCATTATCCATATCTATACAACCATCCATACCTATACAACCATCTTTTATTGCAATTCTTTATATCAGTGTACTAAGCAGCTGCAATCTACCACACATAAACTGAAAAGTCATTCACACCCACCATACCACAAGTACAATCTATATCGTTCATATCCAAAAACATGCAGTACGTTCAGCTTACAATCGAGCTCATCACCAAGGCC